CAGTCTTGACTTCTCTGAATAACCAATTTTATCAGATAAGGCTTGAGAGTGATAAAGTGTCACTGTGATAAAACAATAACTCTTCAATTTTTGTAATACCATTTTTTTTTCTATCTTCATTTTCAATACAACTCTTTAACTTTTCATGTTTTTACATGTTTCTCAATGTTAATAATAGCATTCAATATTGGGAATAATATTAGTTATTAGTTCTTTTGTATAAGAACTTTTATTTTCTAATTGTTTAAACCTGTTCTTTACTCTTCCTTAGGGATATCACACTTCATTTGTAGAAACGTTTTAATTTTTTCTTTTTTCTGTCAATCTCTTCAGTTTTAATATAAAATTTTTAAATATTATTTATAAATTTTCTTAGATTCTAAGGTCTGTTAGTTTAAAGGAAACACAACAATTGATGTTTATTCAAAATATTTGGATTTTTTATTACTTTCTGCAAAGTTATATCAAATCAATAAATTGAATTTTGATCTGAAATTTTCACTGTATAATGTTGGATCTGTGAGATCTAGAGTGCAGAAATGATAGGTTTGATTCCTTAAATATTTCTTGTTTAAAATTATTTTTTCTTCCATAACTAGGCTATGGATTTATTGATATCTATACAGTTATGATGATCAATTTTTGCTGTATTATTTCATTGGACCCACATTTAATATTAAAAGTTTGGGTTGAAATGAACAGATATAATAGATGCATGCAGAAGTTTCCAGAACCTTCCTTTTTGAAAAACTACAGACACAGAACTTTAATAATGAAAAATAGCTGAAAACGTTTTCTTACACACTTAATAAGAGAGAGCTGTTGATTATTTTGATGCTTCTGTGCCAAGTTTTACAATTTTGGGACAATAATTTACACACACACATGTACTACATAAATTTATGCACACATAATGTAACTTTACACTCATACACAACGTAAATTTACACACACACACACACACAACATAAATTTACACACACACACATTTGCACACGCATGGCATTAATTTACACACGCACACACGGCATAAATTTACACACACAGAAATTTGACTCTTTAGTGCAAAGTCTTTTAGATGAATATTAACCTTCTTTTATAAGAATTCTTTTATTTATATTCAATTAACAGAATTCTTATAATAAAGTAACTTATCACCATAAATGCCAATGAACATAGTTATGTAAATATAATTACAAATGACTTACATGATAGAGATTGGTCATTAAAATAGTTTTTTTTTTTTTTAGTTAGGAAATTTTACAAGTTTAAAAGCATTTAAAGATAAATATGCTAATTTATACATTCAAGAATTATTGACTCACAAACAAGAATGTTAAGCAACTTAAGGGGTAAAATCTAAAGCTAAGGGGAATAAAATCTAAATGAAAAAAACTTAAATTTAGTATAAGTTGGTTAAAATCTGAGTATTGATTAGGAAACCCAACTCTGTCTCACTAATTTGCATTGTTATCATGTTTCAACTATTGGGCATTCAAGTGTCTGTTGTTCAGGAAATTTCAAACTGAACACTTTATTTAATCTATGAGAATAGATTATTCTCATTCTGCTGCCCCATGTCTTGGGAAATCTTGTTCTTATTTATATCCTTAGGCATAGATAGTGGAATAAGAACAATCTACCCCTATTGATTTAATAAAGGATTCAGTTAAAAATTTCCTGAAGGCTACCCAGAATGGCACTCCTGAAGAAGGCAAGAGGGCACAAGGCTGAAATGTTGTGATGATAAGAACATTAATCTGAATGCAAATAATGAATACTCTTCATCCCAGATATTCATCTCACTAGCACTTTGAAGTATATCATTTGGGATAAATAATGTTATGAGTGAATTTATAATCTTAAACTAGTAATATTATTAAATAATTAGCTGTTACAGTATAGGTATATTCAAAATCTTATCACAGGTGCTAAATGTATATTTTTACAAGACTTTGTTGGGAAAAGATGAAATATGAAGAAGAAAAAATTATATTTACACTAGTTACATTGTTTGGACTGTTGTCCTCATCTTTATTTTCATATCCACAACATTTGGTCATTATATGCTCTAGCCGTCTTCAAGTGAGAGACACTGGAATTTCGAGCTGAACCCTTTATTTACTCCATGGGAGTAGATTGTTCTAGTATTTTTTTCTGGAGTAACTAAACTCCAAGTTTTTGTTAACCTCTCCTGTGGCCAGGTATTGAACTCACAACTCTTTGGGTCAAGTCACTTTTGGATTACTTCAACCAATGCCTTTATTTACTGAGTCATGGGGTCTTATAGACCTAATGTCTCTAACCATTTTTTACTAGAGCTCATATTACAATTCTTTTGTTGCCAGAGCGTACAATAGCTGAAATGTTGTGGATATGACAATAAAGATAACACCAATCTGAGCAATGTAAATAGTTATCTCAAATATAGACAGAAAAATTTGTATATGTATTTGAGATTAAAGTTGAGTCAGTTCTCAACATCCTTCTCTACTTAAATCCTGTAAATATTTATAAACAAAGTGTAAGATAATATACTTGCTTGATTATGTAGTCTAATAAAACTACTGGTGAGCAGTAATTTTCTTTGTATCAAGTCACATTAATCTTTATTAGTCAGTTAGCCTTTGTCATTGACTTTGATTGCATGATCAATAATGAAATCAAAGTCTGGATCAAGATGTTCAGGTTTGAATAATTATGCATTCCTGATATAACATGAGTTGAAATAATTCTCTTGTAACTTTGAAAACATCTCTGAAGTATTAAGTTTTGGTTGATTATCAAAGCTAATGTCTTACTTGGTAATAATCATTTGTAAATGTTAAGCACTGCAAGTAGAACAGAAAAACTTTTAAACCCAATAGAATGGTTTATCATTTTCACAATCCATCAAAATCTTTACTTTAGCCAAATATAAACATATTCTCACCATTGATGGTCACCTTCAAAGAGAAATCTTTATTTATGAATTTTTATTTTTTATATCAACAAATAGTTGTATTCATATACGAAACCACTAGGGCTTGAAATCAGAACCTCTGAGGATTTGTAATGATTACAGGTTTTAGTTCTGTCTATCCATTAAGCTTCTTTGATGTATGGGTGGTGTAATGGATAATGGCTCAGAATTGTTAATTGGACAGATGAGTTTCTATTCTTGTTAGATTTGTTATAGTCACTTATGTGAAAATACCTTTGAAAGGTATGGATCCATCAGCTATGGGTTAATTAGTAAGACTTGTAGCACTAAATTATTATCTCTCTCAACTCCAAATTCTTACAATATGAAAAAGATATTTTCTGGCTTTAAATAACCTTCAATGGATTGATAAGCTGCTGAAAATGAATCAATCAATGAGTATCAATTGCCAATCATTTCTTTGATATATTTTGGGAAGGTAGGTTTTTGCAATTTTTGAACTTTTCAGTCTTATCAAGAATTAAAAATGAAAATAAATCTCTCATTTTCATTTTACCTTGACATTGTGTAAAATGTTGCTATTTTCTGACTGCTTCCAGTAATTCAGGTACAGATCTGTATATGGTTGAGTGTCTGAACTGTTCTTGAAACTGCTTAAAATATACAGTTGTGGCTTCCACCAAATGGTGCTTGTTATGGTGTCACTTTTCCCTTCCCCCAATTTTGCCAACACCAATTTAAACAATCAAATTTAAAAAAAAAAGTATGGCTAGTTTTATTTGATTGTTTACATTGAATGAATTTGTTTTATTTTAATTGGCAAACAAAAATTGAAAACATGGAAAATTTGGGTATTTTAGTACATGTGTACCAAAATTCTTTTACATTTTAATAGAATCTTATAACATCTTGGATTTTTGTACCACACTCCCACTCAGTCTTGTCTTATAGTTGAGGAAGCTACATTATGCATAAAGTATATATTTTTTTTCTATTTATATTAGAATTTGTCAAATATTCATCTCCATATTCATCTTTGAATCACTGAAGGTTCCCCAAGCCTCAATCATAGTTTTGTGATTTTTGAAAACTTAAAGCTACTCAGCAACATATTCATCATCTTCACACAAAAACATACACAATGACAAGCTAAACTGTATATTAGAGCAATTTTCTTAGATGATTATAGGAATATCTTTGAATAAACTATCAGTATCATTGTTTACTGGGAGGTATATTTCTGAATACAGACACCCCTTGATTAATGTGTTTTTGATTAATGTGCTAAACCTTTTATATATCAAAATTTGATTAGTGCAGTAAAAACATTTTTCAGTTTAACCATAGTAATTGAAAATTGATTTTTTTATAGTTAGTGATGTACATATTAGCTGCACTAATCGAGGGATTCCTGAATATACAAATTTGCAGTTATGTATATTTGACTATACATAAACATTTAATCTTATGATTTATATTTTTAGTTAATCTGCATCTTGTTTCCTCATTTTTAAGTTGTAACCTTATATTTACATTGTCTATCTGGAAAGCAATTTAATATAGTTAAAAAATATAGCCAACTCCGGAAAATAGAACCTTGCATCCCTTTAAAGTATTTTCCTTGGAACCTCACTCATTTACACAAGCACTCTTCAAAACAGCCTAGAAAGTCCTCTTTGGGGATTGCCATCAGCTACCTAATCATATTCTCTTTAACAGTATGTTTAATTTGAAATCTCCTTTTCTACAGTGATATAAGTTTGATGAAAAACCAGAATTTGCATGGAGTCAACTATTGACCATAAGAGATACTGATGAGCTTTGGTTAAATAATATTTTGGCAAAAAAAAAAAAATGATCTCGTTCAATGATGTTTTACTGCTGACTTAATAATCCAATTGGAGAGTGTAGGCTCACACCTACACAGTAAGGTCTTCCTTGATTGGTTGTCATGTTACATATCAAGTCTGGTAATTCAGTGTGATAAGAAGTAATTGAAAAAAAAAATGCTTAAATATTTAAGTATGAGCCTCTTAATTCTTAATTTTTACAGATTTTCTTAATTTCTCTTCTGCAGAAAAATTGCTAATGATGAATCCCCAATTTGGAAGTCAATATCAAAGTGGATATGGACCAGGTGCACCTCCTCCTTTTAGTGGACACCAGGCACCTGCTCCAAGACAACCCATGCCTGCTCAGAGTGTATATAATGGACCAAATATTGGACAAAGACCATCAGGACCCAGAGGTAAGTGTTGCATATACAAGCACACACACACACATATATATATAGTGATGGGTAAATTGTCACCCCTCCCAAATTTGTGCAAACACGCTGTTTGTTTTTGATTTTGTCTACTGCACATAGTGGGGTTAGTTTGGCACCAGCTGTGAGAAAAAGAGAACCATGACACAATTTACTCTGACAGAAATTTGGGGATGGAATGCTGTACTGCTTGGCATTCATGCCAGAAGCTCCAATACAAACATTTCAGTGTTTGGGCATCAATCTGAGGCTATGCAGAGGATTTGGAAAGAGTTGAATGAGTCTAATGGTGATTACAAAGGTGTTTGGAGTAATCACTAGTGATGGTGACATTATGCCTCCATTCATCTTCCCACAGGGCCTCAGACTCAATATGGAGGCCTCCATCAAGTGTCTTGAGGTTGTAGTGCTGCCCTGGGTTAAGAGGGTGACTGCTGGAAAACCTTATAACAGGATTCTGCACCATGTCACACAAGCAGGAGAACCTAGTCGTAGCTGTCAGACAATTTCTATGACCATACCACCTGCTTACTGGCCACCTAACTCCTCAGACTGCAAAACACCTTGATTATTATGTGTGGGGTGCAGTTGAGCAAGAGACCAACAAAACTCCTTGTAATGCTATAGTTGAACTGAAGATAAGGATTATGGCAGCATTCACCAACTTAAACAAGGAGACTGTCCAGAAGAGTTGCAGAAGATTCCAAAGTTGTCTGGAGGTGTGTGGCTGAAGCCACTGGCAATTTTATTGAATAAATTTACTCTTTAGTATTTTAAGATATATTTTTGGATAATTTTGGTAAATATATCTATTAAAATGTCAGTGTTATTTTCGTTTTTGTGTAATTTAGATGGCAATTTATCCATATAAACACATGCGTACGTGTATTACACAAGTTTTGAGATTTTTTAAAGAGATACAAAAGTACAAAACTCTAATCTCCTTTAAAGTAGGATGTTCTGACTTCAATGCACTTATAGTACTCTAGCCACTTTGTGAAGGTGTCCAGGACCCTTGTCACAACCTCCTCAATCTTAATATCTGTGAAACAGTTGCTCCTACGATTCTCCTTTAGTTTACTTTCTGTGACTTTTTTTTGTTCCCCAACTCATTGGAATAATTGCAAATATTTCTAGAAAAGACCAAGGGAAGACACTCTCCAGTGGTGGGAAAGCAACTGAAGTTGAGATGCCAGGTCAGAACCAAGAACATTAATCAATTTTTTAAGCTGCCATTGTTTCATAATATAAATGTTATATTTAGTGAGTACATTGTTTGAGTATGCCTCCCCCCACCACCTTTTTTTTTACAAGGAAATTAATGTCTACTGGCCTAAAAATTCTTAGTAAGTATGTCTTACAAAAGAGCTGTTCATTTTTTTTTTTTTTTTTTTTAAAGTATGATAATCAAGACATGCTTTGCTGTAATGGCTTCTCTTAGCTTGATGGTGAAACATGCTTGGCTTGAAAGTGGTTTCATATATTAAAAAGAAAATACAATTTCAATTCATGCCAAGAGGTACATCATCTTTATTAAGGCTTTTGATCTCTAGGCTGGTAAACATTAAGGATGTCTATTCAAACACATATATCCAGTAAAATATAAAATTTATAGTAATAAGATATAGACTATTTACACTGTTCAGACTACTGTCCTCATCTTTGTTGTCCTATTCACAACATTCCGGCTGTTGTACACTCAGACGTTCTTCAGGTGATATACATTGGAATTTAGAACCAAATCCTTTATTTCATCCAAGAACAAATGGCCCAGTGGATAAAAGTGTTGGATGAAGTAATCCAGCAACTTGACCCAAAGAGTTGTGAGTTCAATACCTGGCCATAAAAAATTGGAGAGTTGAGTTACTAAAGAGAAATAACTGAAACTGATATTCAGAAAAGGCATGGCATGTGGAACTTGAACAATCTACATCTGTGGATGAAACAAAGGGTTCAATTTGAAATTCCAATGTATATTACCTAAAGAAGGTCAGTGTACAATGGCTGAAAACATGAATATGACAAAGATGAGGACAACAGTCTGAACAATGTAAATTGTGCAACTACCTCACCTCAGAAATGTAGACAAATGTTAAGATATATACCTATATATGAGAGGGTGCTGAGAAGTTCTTGGCCTGACCCAACTTCTACCATGTGACCAAACATCAGAATTTGTTTTTGAATTTCCTCTTGGTCAAGCCAAAAACTTTTCCTCACTAATTTTTTTTCATTTTCCTTGATGCTTCCTCTTTTAGAAATGCAGGAAATAACCAATTTATGCTTAGTTGAAATTTTCAAAAAAAAAAAAGTGATGAAATGTTTTTCCATAGAATAAAAAAATTTATTACCTCTGTCCAGTAATAGTTACAGTTATGTACAAATTTTATCTGCTAAATGTATTAACCATTATGGGACAGTATTTAATTCTAATTTTATGAAAACTTTGGAATTACTAAGCAGAATAAGAACAAGTCCTAAATAGTTGTGGTTGTATTTGAATGTTTATATTTATAGCTGTATAGTTAGAGCAAAGAATCACAGACTTCTCCAGTTCAAAATTTTCTCTTTTATGATATCTACTAATTTCTCTGGCTTATAGAAGGAAAAACAGATTTCTATTAACAGCATTCCTTTCTTTCAATCATTTGGCTACCAGTAAAATTGGTCATGTCTTTATAGAATGATATATATGATTTTACATAATTGTAAGATGTAATTTAACTCTAGCTCCAAAGCAAAGTAACTCCAAATGAAGTCTTAAGTGAATGAAGGATGTGTTTGAAGAACAACAATAAAGTTAAGTCCTTAACATTTAAATATTTTAATAAACACAATGAAAAGAGGATGGCACAGATGAAATGAAGAAAATAGAAATTTAGTGTAGAAAAGAGGGGGCAGGAGGGTGGCAAATATGATGTGTATTCATGGACTTACCTGGACATTCATCTTCCGAATTAAGCTAACCGCAAATTGGTCTCAGATGGCATCGTCTAAGATTATGAGGCTGGGCAAAAAGATATCACCAACTCTGTCAAGGGTAGTAGAAGGTAGATGCAATTCACTCTTGTGTTTTCCAGGATTTTAGATAATAAGACTTTTTTTTTTTTTTTTAAAACAAAAAAAAACAGTTTGTTCAAACTGCACACATGCAAAATACACAGTTCAAACTCTCTGTGCAAACATATTGGTTGAATCTAAGCTAATCTGTGAGCTGATGACAAATCATCAAATGCAGATATTCGCTACAATAGATGAATTTACTTTTCTCATATATATATATATATATATATCTGTCAAATGAGAATGGATAGAGCACAATTCCAACGTTTGTAATATTTAATTTAAAAGAGGGCTCAATACAGAGTAGAACAAAATATTAAATCTTCTATATCAGTTTTTAATCTAATGTCTGTGATCTGTTTCAGGCAACTTCCTGTCATGACCCATTGCTAAAAACAAATTTTCTTTTTTTGCTTAGTTTGAATTTAACGTAGGTTATTTTTGTTTTTATGATCAAGGTTAAGCTCCCATGCCTGTAAAGTTTTTTTTTTTTTTTAAAGAGGAGGTATTTTACTTTGGAAATTAATTGTTCACTCACCAGTAATTTACAATCATCTGAGGAGACGCATTGATATGCATCGAAACATGGCTGCAATTGTGTAGCAATTTTTGACATGTTTTTGATTTAATATCCTAAAATATATATATTTAATTTTTAAAATTCTAACATTTTCTTTTTCCATACAAATGATTAATTTACACATTGTTTTGTCAAGCTTATCCTTATTGTTACAGGCTTTTATATTCACACTATGTGACCGTTCCTTGCCTGAAGGAAATGTATAGAATTACTAAGAACATTGAATAAGGCCCCATTTTTAAAATTAATATTCACTTAATTCAAGGTTTAAGAACCACTCAAGATATACGAGATATATGAATGGTAGAGTAAGGAGCAGAGATTATGCAGAATGGGTAATGACTGTTGTTTGACCCAAAGAGATTAAGATTGTAGAGTTCAGAGAAGCAGCTTACATGGGAGTCTGTTTCACAAAGTGGATGCGGATTCAGTTTGCATTTATACAGTTTATATAATGTTTGATATATATTCTTTATTTATCTGCAGGTTTTTAAATAGTGACAAAATAACTTTTTCAATAGATAGGTGCATATATTGGCAACTTCACAGCCTAATGATTAAAAAAAAAAATTTTTTTCCACAACAGATATTTATTTTCCAACATAATCTTCTTTTCTGTCTGAATTTCTCAGTTGAGGAGTTATCATTATTTACACTATTTACATGCAGAATATTGTCTTCATCTTTGTTGGTGCATGTAAATAGGGTAAATAATAAAATCTCCTTTCTTGTTAGTTCAGTGATATGAATATGTAGGTATGTCAATAAGTCCATAGACTAATGATAAAAAAAAACAAACATTTATTTCACAGAGCATATAATCATATAAATTAAGCATTATACAATGAAAATTTCAGATTAAAATTCAACTAATAACTCTCAGGCTACTAATTTATTGATCCACTTTCATATTCAAAAGAAAAAGTCAAATTTAATTGAATTTTTGACTCTGTATATACCAACATATCTCAGATCCTATTGTCTGTGATTCACATAAAAAATGAGAAGACAACTCTTGTTTGTTAAGAATGAAGAGTTGACAAAATGATAGCCTTGTTTTGTATTTGTCTACTAACATATCTTCTCTCATTGGTGCTTGTTCCAGTGTGACCTGTTGCCTATTTAACAGAACATTTATTTTCATAATCATAGGGGATCCATCTGTGTACTTTCTATTTTAGGAGAAATAATTTCAAACCTTTGTACACTGTGGCTGTTGATTGTAAAATATCAAATTCGTTCTATGTAAACAGTCGCTAATTTTGAATATTTGAAGATTAAGTGTTCATTTGATAACAGCAAAAATGGGTCTTTAATTTTTGACAAAACAAAAAATGTT